TAGGGCAAAGGAATTGATTCGTCATACAAACAAGCGAAACGATTTACGGACGCCGAACGAGGGCACACCAGTCACTCGTCGCGGGGACAAAATCCTCTCCGGCCATCGACTCGCGACTGTTTCCGGCAGCGCAGCTGTGTCCGAGTAGCGGGCGATCAACTCCGCTAACATCTCGTCACCGAGTTGTTGGATCACCTCGTCGAGGATGTCCATTGAGCGGACGTCCCGGGGAGGGGCAATCCCGGGCGAGATGGTTTGGGTCGCCGCACCTGAAGCAGGCGCGACGAGGGGCACCCCGAGCCCTAGTGCGATCCAACTCCATGGGGACGGGAGCTGGAGGCCGGAGGGGGGCGCGGGCCACGGGTGGCACGACCGGAGCCACCGGGCGGAAAGGGGCCGGAGCCGGGATGCGGTTGACCGGAAACGGAGTCCGAATCAAACCGCCAGGCGTCTTGGGGGCGGCTGACTTGATCAGCTTGGCCCGGACCAGGGCCTCGTATTGACGGAAGGCCGGGTGCGCCAGCTAAGGTAGTCCCGGAGGTCCGGGGGTCGTTCGAGGACGTGATTCCGTTGTTGATCAGGGGGTCAAGTCCGTGGCGGAACTTGGTCACCTTGACCAGCGCGTCTTCGAATCCGGCGAGGTCCATCAGGTCCTCGAAGTCGTCGGTGTACTGGTAGACATCCTTTGTACCCATGTGATAGGCGGAAGTCTCCAGCTTGGAGAGCGTGATCTTGCTCATTCTCCTCGACGAACCGGAGTCGAAACTCGGAAACGAACGAGCCCCAGGACGGAAACGGAAACGGGGCTTTGCTTCCGTGGCGCTCCGCCCATTGCTGAGCGGGTCCTTCTGCCATAAACGACATGGCATAGCGGACGGCCTTTTCCTCGCTTGCCTCTCCGTTGACCACGAAGGCCTCAGGGGCAAGGCGGGCGTAGGTGCGGACCGCATAGAGAAACGCGCGGCCGCGTTTCCGATCGCCGTTGAAGGTGAACGGGGGGTTTGGTCGCAAGACCAATTTTGAGGCGAGGTTGATGTCGCCAAAAAGGGCTTCGGAGTCGCCCTGAACCGGAGTCGGAGTCGGAATCGACGTCTCCGGGGGTGGTGTTGTTTGGGGTCCGCCAGCAGTATTAGCGGCGGCAGCGGCAGCGGAAGCCTGGGTGGTGAGAAGAGTAAGGGCCTCAGTGTCAGGGGAACCTCCCTTTCGGCCCCTCGGAGACGTCTCCGATTCCGGTCCGACTCCGGTTCCGACTCCGGTCCGGCCCTCCATCTCGCCCGCACAATCACCGATCCGTCAACGCCCTCCCGACGGTCGCCCTGGGACCTCGCCTGCGACGCCGCCCAAGCCTTCTGTGCCCGACAGCGGCAGCTACGGACAAGCAGTATATAGTCAGCTACCTAGCAGGCGGACCCTTAGAGTTTCTTCTCTTTGGATCCTCCCCTGCTAGGTCAGCTTCATTTATATTCGCTTACCAATGTTCACGCTTTGGATCCTCCCCTGCTAGGACCTTGATCTCAGGCCTCCGGGGTTGCCCTTACACTCAGTTAGGCGGTCGATTTTCGCCTCGAGTGCATCCAGCCGAGTGTCAGCGTCAGGAGTAGCTCCGGAAGGCATGACAGGTGCGGGGATGACAGGAGTGACAGAGGAGGAGGGGACAAGTGGTAGGGGGGGTGACGAGGGCGGAACGGACTCGTATTCCGAGCCTGAGTCAGCGCCGAACCTAGCAATCTTGTCCGGTTGATCCCGTAGAGAGTTTCTTCTGTTGTAAGGGCAACCCCGGAGGCCTGAGATCAAGGTCCTAGCAGGGGAGGATCCAAAGAGTGAATAGAAGTAAGCAAATACAAGTGAGGCTGACCTAGCAGGGGAGGATCCAAAGAGAAGAAACTCTAAGGGTCCGCCTGCTAGGTAGCGGAACTATATACTGCGCTCTTGACGCGCCAAGGTTGATGATTGCTCCGTGCAGTATGCCTGCGCCATGTCGCAGGCCAGGTCCCAGGGGGATTGCCAGGCGGGGGCGGCGATGCGCCTGACGGAGGCGGTGATGCGATCACCGGAGTCGGAGCCGGAGTCGGGCCGGAATCGGAATCGGAATCGTCTCCGAGGGGCCGAAAGGGAGGTTCCCCTGACAGACTAATCCTCAACACATTTGATGGCCAATTTCCCAATCAAACTACAAAAAATTATCATGCAGCCAGGTTCTGAAGTGGACATGGTGGGACCTGGTGGAGAATAGTGGGGTTAAGTGCTCTGATCCTGCTTGCCAGGAGACTAGCACTTCTAATAATGGTCCAGCATATGGTATACAGGTACTTATTTTGTTTTCTGGCTCATTGTGACTGACTCTGTGATTTATGATGACAAATACTTTCCTTTTTTGGAAGTCCTGTGGCTTAGTCATGCTTATGTATATAGGGTAGGGAGGGTCTGCCAGTGCTTGATTTTGCAAACGTGTCACAGGAAAGGCAGACCTAAATGCAATGCCCTTGAGAGTTTTAACTCTAGATATGGCTACAAAAGAGAGTCCTGGAGCAAAGTCACTGCGCCCTAGATCTATTGTAGCCCGTTCAAGAGTCAGTCCTTGACTTTTGTGAATTGTGATAGCCCAAGCTAAAGTGAGGGGCAGCTGTGTTCTAGATAAAGCAAGTCCATTATTCTCCCAATTAGCTGTCACTGGGACTATAGGAACCCATCTAGGTTCAATTCCTTCCCAGCCTGGATTGTCTGGGACTATACAAATTTCCTCAGTTTATATGTATATCTGAATCAATAGTAATCTTACCTGTATAGTTCAGGAATTCTACAAAGACAACACTGGGTAGATCCTTTTGAGGATTAGTCTCTCTAAGATTGTTTTGCTGATTAGCCTCTGTTACGTGTTCAGGCCCGGATTCCTATCAAAATCACCTTAAAAAGGCAATTTTCTGTTCCGACTGACGCCGGACTTTTTATGGTAGTCTGTACACCTTGTCCGGCGGACAGTGTGCGTTACGTGTTCCATGCCACGGACAGTTGATCTAAATAGTACAGTACCATAAAGACTTGAGAGAAGACCATGAAAGATGCCTTAGCAGTGTTCAGAATGCAATAAATGAAACAAATCGAATTTACAAATAACTGATCAACACACATAGCATACCATATACTACAACAGTGCTAGGTGCTAGGGTAGAGCGTGGCCTCCCCCCCCCCCTGCTGCCATATAGGGTAATATGTTCCCACAATCAGCATCGTGTGACCACTGATGTGATTAAAAAGTGGTATAAAAATTTAGTCTTTATGAAACTTTTTTTGTTTTCAAAAGAATTTATGTATTTGTATATGTTTTTGTGTAGGTATCTATGTACCTGGAACTCTCAAACACACATGGCAGGCCATATCACTGTTCAATATGTTCACCTCCTATCATATACCTGATGATGGGCCTGTGACATGGTGTGCTATCTAAGCTCACCACTTATGGGCCTGAAAGTATATGGATATAAGTATGGGGGGTTCTCAACCATACAAATTAGAGTGTATACACTACATTTCAGTGTCTTTACACCCATATAAAGTTCAAATCTTTATATACAAATTTTTTTTTACCCCCTTGGGACCGCCCTACCCCATGTGCCTGATAAGAATCTTGAACCCCTTGTCTAAACATGATTTTTGTAAGTTTTTAGAACACAAAAAAATGGAGGGGAAAGATGAGAGGGAGAGGAAAGAATGGTATGAGTTTTTTTTTCCATGTCACACACTTGTGACACATCTATCAAAGATCTGCCAATGAAATGATGAATTTAGGGCTAGTTTCTGATGGAAAATTATAATGGAAACAACTGTCAAGGAGAGAACCTTCCAAATAACTATGTATACACTTATTATACAGTCCTTTATGCTCATTTAACCAATCTATTAGACATGCTGTAGAAATTGTGGGAAATTCCGGAACATTTTGTGGAATCTGGTGAAATTTTTCCTAATTTCGCAAGGCCTCTGAAATTTTCGGAAATCTCATGAGATTTCTGAGGGAGGTTTTTCCTGATGTACTACTGTAGTATTTTACTCAGTTCGCATGTCACACGTCACACTTGCCATAAAATTCGAATTTTTTTTCGCATGTCACACCGTTTTGCTCAAAGTTGTGTCCCAAAAAGGCAATTTATGACGTTTCCCGGCGCCTGCAGCGCCAAGAACTTCCTGATTAGGCAATAACTCGAATTCAAATTTTCGTATCAAATGTCATGCCATTTTTGGCATTCGAATTGAGTAAAATACTACTGTACATTGCTTTATATAGTATGAGTGAATAGTTCTAGGATATTCTACAGAGATGAAGAATAATGAGTAAGAGAACGAGAGAGGAACTCGAGGAATGCCGAGGTCCGGAGCTGAGTAAGCTTCAGCCGGTAATGAATATTAATGAAACCCAACACTTCCCCTCAAGCGCGAGTCCCATCGAGTCGGCGTGATGTACAGTAGTGCATTCATGGTCCTCCTGAACCTTCCCCAGACATAAGTCCAAAAAGTGAACATTTCATATGTGACCCGATGTCTCGGCTTGCTGATCCGCGGGCCCCTTGAAAAAAAATAACAGATGCTACAAAAGTAACAAAACACGCTTTTTATGTCCATGGACCGCGTCGAACGGCGCCGCGCACTGCACATTGCACTCCACACCGTGGCCGCCTCTTCACTTTGCAGTTCGATTGGAGTTGTGGTACCGCCAGTCTCTATGACGCTCAAATCTGCTGATCTACGCCAGACAAAAAGACAACGCCCTCAATCAATATTAATTGAAATCCCACTGGCACGTTTCCGCACGCGTCGAACGCAAACTCGACTGGTGTGATATCCCAATTATGGAGCCTGCGCTACTGCACGATCTATTCCACTGAAATTAAACGCCAAGACTGTCCGGCATTCGTCCGTTTTCTAAGCGGCGGATGATATTATCGGAAGAGGTGTAGAATACTGTAGAATACTCATAAATAAGGCGCCGTCATCGTCCTAGAGCATCAGAAACCCAAGCCCCGCAACCGCCGAATGACGCGCTGCATCTGCACACGGCGCGTGCGCTGCGCCGCCGAACCCACGGCGCGCGGGGCGACGGGCAGCACACGTGGCACGGGGGACTCGGACGCGCGGCGCTCGTCGGCCGAGGTGCGCAGAAGCAGGAACGACGCGTCGGCGCGGTGCTCCGAGGCGGCGTGCAGGTTCGACGGGCGGCGGGTCGAGGCCGGGCGCTGCGCGATGTCGTACACGGAGATCGACGATGTGCGGCGCGAGGCACGTGCGCGGCGGGCCGGCCCGGGACCGGACGTGCCGGTGGGTGTGCGGGGGAGGACGAGGTCGGCGGGGACGCGCTCGCCGAGGGTGCGGGTCAGCTTGGCGAGGGTGCGCGTGTGCGAGAGGTGTGTATCGAGCGGCTGCGGGGAGAGGACGGGTGTGGATGGGTCGGAGTCGGCGCCGCTGGCGGGCGAGACGGGGCTGCAGCTGATGGTGTCCAGCGCCGGGCTGGGGCGGGTCTGGGATGAGTCTGGAATGCGGGCGAGAAGGATGGGCCGGCGGTTGACGCGCTGGGCGACGGAAGCTGAACGGGCTCGCGAGGCAGGTGATGGATATGAATAGCGTCGGGAGGTGGAAGGGTTGAGCTGGAGCTGCGGCGTCTCGCCGAGGACCGCCTGAACTTTGCGCGAGGAGCGAACGAGCCGGGCACGCTCACGCGTGGAGAGGCGCGCAAAGCGGGGCCGGGGAGAGGGCGAGGGAGAAGAGACGAGTGGGGGCCTCTGTACGAGGATGGGGTACGAGATGGTCATTGGCGAGGTCTGTGTCGCGTTGGTCATGGTGGAAGGAGCGAGTGTGATAGGGGGGCAACGAGAGCGGAAGTTGTTTTTGAGCGGAGAAAGGCTCGGCGGAGCACGCGCCTATATACCCGGCCACCCAGACAGGAGAGGGTTTCAGACCTTGGAGCAGATGAGGCAGTTCAGTCAAGACCCCTGGCTATTGCAGTCCTTATTGCCGCCGGCGAAGGAATGTAGTATGCAATGTGAATGACATCCGGGTTGCGGGAGCTGGACAATGCAGGGATGTGTCTTGATTCAAGACTCAGAAGTCGCGGAGAGAATCCAAGGTATGCGCGGCATACGTGGCGCAGCAAACTTGATGTCCTCTGAGCCGAGATATGAGTACACCGTAGTCTCCTGCGAAGTTAAAGGAGACTCCCATCTAGTTCTCCAGTGCGTGTGTCACTTGGAACTGCAACTTCAAGTTTGAGGAGTACAGAGTCCGACACCGCGTTCACAGAGGTTTCAGGCTCGTATGCACCCGGTTACATAAAGGGCTCCATGCCAAATGAATGCAGCGCATCCCATCATAGACAATGTCTCGAGGCTCGGCGACATAAATTGCAGAAAAGGGTCGGGCTTGGAGGAAAAGGCGATCCAACCACGAGTCAGAGTCGCGCATGCGGCATCATCTGCGACAAAATGTTGACGCGGACTGGAAATTAGGGCGGCGCCAGTAGTAGAAGTTGCGCTGTATACTTGCGGGAGAGGTTATTTGTCGACAGTATCTTTGCGACGTGCGAATGAAAGGCTTTGCAAGCCGTGGAAGGGTACTAGCACCGTGACGACCAGCCAGATTCTTGTTGCTCGGAGTCTGATGTCAGTATGAGTCTTGAGGGATGTCTCGTACGCTTGAAGAGAGCTTGTCGAGCCGGAAGGATGCTGCCGCTACGTGCGCTTGTCGGTGGTGAGGATCAGGAACAACCGGGGTTGGCCGAAAAGGGAAATCACCTTTTTCTTCCGTTCCTCCATGTCGTCTGGATGCCAAACGTCGTTTCCGACCGTGAAATCCTCCGTCGCGCTCAAGCACAAGATCACCACACTCGCAGAATGCTGATTCAGAGCTAGCGACACGATGACGTGGCGTGCCTGCTGAAGACGACGACGGGTGGTGGAGTAGAAAAGACGGAGTGGGTGGCTGAAGCCGATGAAAAACTTGATGCTTGACATTGTCTTGCCCATAGAGCTATTGGCCCTCTTTATGGTGCGTTTTCGTCCTCTCCGTTGTGGCTCATCCTGATATCGTTTAGTTTCTTACTCGACATTTGCAAGGTCGCCTTAAAAATTTCCGCCAAGGCTTATCCTTATCCTTACTGCTCCATAACAGTCGACGCCAAACGGGGATAATGTTGCTGGAATGGTGGAGGGATAAGAATGCGGATGTCATTCGTCGATGACTCTGACGAGCTCTGCTCGCTTGCTCCAACGTCCCACACGTTCTTCGGCAAGAAACACCGCATAAGAAGACACCCAATAGACGGCTGAGGGCGCGCCCGGTGCGTTCTTAGCGCGTCATGCCGCTGTTTGGCCTGATTTGTTATAGCACTTCTCAAACGTGGCAACATTTTCCCTTCCTCTGCACTTTCCCCTAACTAAAAACCGCACTCGTACCTCGTATAAACCATCCACCGTCAACCGTGGCCACAATAACAATACACAGGGGCAGCAGCCCAAAGTTTTCGCCACCAATGTCGCAAATTCCACCAAACCCTTCTGCCCCCAGGAGGAGGCTGTTGTCGCCCAACGAATAACGTCCCCGACCTCCATTCACACCCTATAATCACCCCCCGCAGCTATGAAGGAACTTTGTGGTATCGTTATCGTGACGATTGTCCCCTTCCTCCCCCCATCACCGCCATTTTATAATTTGTGCCCAAGCCTTGCGACGGTCTCGAGAGTTCGGCGGCTGAAGGCCGACATATATATGACCTCATTTATCCCATTTCTCTCAACCCCAACGCTGGACGTGAGGTCGTCCGCCACATTATGTGTTCTCACCTAATGGGGACACAACTCGATCTTATGGGCGGTGATTTTGGATATACCGCATGCTGGGCTTATGAAGAACGCTCTGGTTTTATTCCCCGTGCTGCAAGGCCGCCATGTGCCGCGGAATGTACTTCGGAGAGGGATGTCTTTACTTGCTGTCGAGCGGGTGTTTCGAGAAAGATAACATTGGCCACCACTAATTCTGCGACATTGTACCGCCATTCCATGCATCTTCCACAAGTCTTGGCCGCGCGCCTCATGGGCTTTGCGTTCGACATCGCATTTTGTCCATTCTGCGCACAAATGTCGCTCCTACTCTCCTGGCTTCTTCCCCGGCTTTCTGGGCTCCATCCCGTCTTCCTTCATGGCTATAGCATCCTCACCGCCACCTCGTAGACCCGCTCTGTCTCCCAATCGCGTATGGGCCTTGCTGCTCCTGGTCGACACCCGATTTCTCCTGTTCCGCGACACTTATTTCAGTCTCTGGCTGTGGAATCACATTTTTGCCCCCCATTTCCAACCTCCCCTCACCATTTCATTTCGCTTGGGCCGACATTCCGCGATTCTGTTTCCCCGTTGGTCACGTGCCACATACCCCGGCATTCGTCGGTCAATAACTTTTGCATACCATTACCGATTGACCTCAAACTCTGGGTGCTTGACCTTGTACCATGGAAGATCGTCCCTAAATGAGCTTCACCGACGTTTTCCGCTCCCGTCCTTGTCCTCGAGCTCATCGCCGTCTTTGCCGAATATGCGACGTCAACCCCTTATCCTGACCACCGAATGCGATACGACTTGCGCTGGTGCTCAAGAACATATATACTATGCGTCTACACCGGTTACCATATTGAATCACATCGTTTATACTCTATTTCACATTCCCATACCAGCAGGCAACCCGATTCATCCCCAGCGTCGGAGCGGCTCGACTCTATATGTGGAGATTCATTACACCATGCTGAAGCTCCTCGTCTAGTCATGGCTCCATGATGGTTTCCCTCTTCGCTTCCTTTCGGACGACTTTTCCGTCGTCTTTATGGTCAGGGACCACATCATCTCCGATCAGCTGGCCGAGTCTGCGTTCTCGTGGGTCGTTTTCCCTTTGGATTGTCATGGATGTTGAAAGATCTGGGGGCCTCTTTCTCGCATGATCTATCATTTAGAACGACGACATCGCGTTTCTGCTACCCACTGGCAAAGACTGTACTTGAATACCATGGCGATATATATACTTTTCTTTCTTCGCGTGTTACCTATTGTATGTACATACCTTACTTTACTTATAAGTTACTGTTTACTGTTTCGGTTGGCCTTTTCTCCTTCTTTCTTTCTTATCGTTTCCTTCTTCTGAGTTGACTCACTTTTTAGCTAGGCCTGTCGTCGTTCATGTAATCAGAGACGCGGATGGGGTCACGCAGAGATCCGCACGCAAGCAAATGAAACACTACATAAATGAACTTAACCGGTCGGCTTACTGTGGTACCGAACTGGTTGGAGGCGATTGTACCTCGGCGGCAACCGGCTTCAAGTTTTTGAACATGAATGACAGCATTGAAGTTGGTCGTTGTTTCTACCTTGGAAGTTTAGGGTGCATAAGCGACTACAGCAATAGGTGTTCAGGTTTATACTCGGTATCTAGTGTTTGGGGCTTATCCAGATGAACGGGGAGAGGCCGCAAGCGCAAGCCTGTTCATCCTCGTGGCTGTGCCCAGTCCCACTCTTCTCGCCGGATGGACTGGAGATCTGGAAGTAGCGCTTGCACCTCGCCCCAACGGCGCAGCATTTCCGGCTGCTGCACGTCAGCGTCCCAGTCGTTTTGCAGCTGGACCAGCGAAGGAAACAGCCCGGAGAGGAACCGTGCGACTGTGAACGCGTTGTCGAGTTCGGAGTAGCAGAAGTCTATGTCATGCAGTTCATGCTGAAGCGGCCGCACAGCGTTGGAGTCCTCTGGTCGCCGCTGAAGTGCCGGTGGACTGCGCGCGTTGAGTGTGAGGGTGATGGATTTGAGGGCAGGGCACCAGCGGGCGACAGAGACGAGCACGTTCAAGGTCAGCGCTGTGGTCGTAGGCTTCGTCATCTCGTCCAGGTGCAGCCCGCGCAGATGGGGGCATTGGATAACAAGTTGCGTCAGCGCCGCGTCATCAAGACCCACGATTTTGTTACAAGTGAGCAAGAGCTTATGCAGCATGGGGAAACGAGCACGGGAGAGTGTGACAAAATCCTCCCGTCGTAGAGCTGCGTTCAGGGAAAGCCATAGCGAGGAGAGGGTAGAGTGGGAGGCGGTCAGCGCCGTGAACAGGGCCGTGATATCCTCCGGGGTGTGATTTCCCCTCGACAGTTGGACGAAGATCTCTTGCACCACTGGAAGCAAATGGAGAAAGTGTGTGACGGTGGCTAGGTCAGCGGACGAGAGCTTGACCGAGGTGAGTGTAGCAAATCTGCATGCCTGTATACCAGGTAGCAGATCGGCGGAGAAAGTCGATAGAGACAACGATGAAAAGCCGGACAAGCTACCAAGATAGTCCAACGCGTTATGATCAAGAACGGGAACGTGTAGCCTCCGTAGCCCTGGCAGACTTTTCACGAGCGCACTGATCGTTCGTTGGTCAGCCAGCGGCGCTGGCGGGTTTATGGTCACTTCGGTGATTCGGAGATCACCCAGAGCTGGCACTTTGATTGCAATAATTGGCAAAAGGGACAGTGTCTCTTCGTTAGCGAGCATGCAGTCCAAACCAAGTCGGTGAATGCTAGGGGAGAGGAAGAGCCGGAGATGACGCATCATAGCAGAAAAAGACCTGGCATTGTGTGTGTGGGGTGTAAAGGTCAGGGATATGATCCAATCGAGGGCGTGAAGGCGGGGGAGGAGACTGTCCCACGGCAGTCGCACAGACAGCCATACCAACGCGGCTTCGTATGTCTCGAGAGCATCGCTCCTGACGTACAGTCCGCGAATCCTCCCGCTGTAGCTCCGGAATCGTTCCCAGTCGCTCAGGACAAGTGGGCGGGGAAGAGGCTACATCTATTTCAGCTGTTCCTCTACTAAGAATGGTAGGCACTGACCACTGACACTGTCATCCGGTTCCCTTCATTGGTAGTCTCCACGGCGCCCTCCGGAAAGCAGGCAAACAAACCTCGCAGAACGTGGAGGTCGACCGTGCGCCAGAGGCGGTCCAGCGCCGGGGCTTCGAATACACGACATGTCCGTGCGAGGGCGGAGAGCAGAGGGCGATTTTGTACGGGAATATGGTCAAGGATTTGGGACAGAACATCGAGATTCTCGAGACACTGGTGCATGCTGTTGGTTACTTGGTGATTAGAGGGGTGGTGGGTGAGTGAGAAGAAGCGAGGCACAAGCGAGGCTCCTTCAGGCACGCATCATATAAAAGCCGGCAGAGAGCGGTGGGAAAGACGGTGAGAGGAAGAAGTAATGTGAAGGGCTGTGAACCTTCCAGAAATTGAGAAGCAGTTACAGGAACCAGGCTAGCCGTGTTTTGGGGTGCAGTGCATGTCGGAGGCTGAGCGAGCGTGTCAGTGCTCCAGAACACAATCGTGGGCACAATGCGGACATTGCTTGGGCGTGCCCATAAGGAAGTGAGGAAGAGGGAAGAAGCCAGACACATGTCGACGGCATCGACTTCTCCGCTTGATGGTGCTACTCGATTTTGGTCAGTGGTCTTCGCCGGCATACTATCGCAACTCGGCGCTCGCACCGCTGTCGAGGGAAAGCGCAGGTAGCGTACTTGAGAGGTGGTAAGAAGATGTGGAAAATGAGAATTAGGTGGAAAATGAGAGTTAGGAACCAAGCCGAAATAGGAAATCACTTTTTTTGACCTCTTCCTCCATGTCGTCCAGCCGCCGCACACTATTCTTGACGATTAAGACCTCTTCTACACGCAACGACAAGACCCAATGGCACGCAACAAGTCGACTTGGGGCTCCAAACACGATGACATGGCTTGCTACTTGACGACGGGCGGTGGTTTGCAAAAGACGGTCACAAGAGGACGGAGCCCTGAGGGAACGCAACTCTGGACGCCGCTGTTGGCTCTTGAACCATTCGATACTTGTACGGTGCGTTTTGGGCCTCTCGGTTCCGCCTCATACTCATCTCTGCCAGAGCCGTGGCTTTTTCCCATTGTCCCCAAGCCTCCCTCGCCCTTAACACTCCCTCCCAAGGCTACTCTTTGTTCACTCTTCCTTACTCCAGCGGGACTGGTCCTGCTATAACTGGACCAGGACGATGGATGGAGGATGAAGGAGGCTAGGCGGGTTGTCCTGAAGCGATGTGGTGGGACATGGCATATGTTCTTTGGATGGACATTCTGCGTGTAGTGCCATTGAAGAGGCGTCTGGGGACCTTCTAGGTGTGTTTGTATCCCGTTTCACTCCCCTTTATCCTCATGTCTTTTCGCATTTCTCAGATGTGGGCGACCATGGCCATGTCTATCACTTCCGTCCAGCCAAAAGTACACGCGAACTCCCAAAAGGACGGTTTCTACTTGTTCTTGGCCACACGTACAGGACGACCAGGCCGCTAATCCCGTCTTTTTTCACACTCAATATTGCCTACGCCACCCCTGCACGTCTTCTCCCACCAGAAGGCTTTTACCCTCGACCAATGACTTCCCCGATATGTATTCAACTCCTCTCATTGTCCCCCGCTGTTGCTGAAGGATTCTGCGGCCGCGTTGCTGCAACGACTTTGCCCGTCCTCCTCTCCCATCACACCCGTTTTACGAAACCTTTCCCAAGCCTGCCGTCGGCCTCAAGCACTCGATGTGCGCACAGGAGCGTCTAGATTATCTCCCTCATCCCATTTCCGCCGAATTGCGACACCGGATTTGGGGGTCCTCGGGGACTTTTCGTCGTTTCGCTTAGGATTCTATTCGATCTTCCCGTCTGCCATATTGCCAATTGGTCCTGCGGGCACTCGGAGCCAAGTATGATGTGCTACCGCCTTTGCTACTAGGACCGAATTTGCCACGGGAGGTCCTTCGTGAAGCGGTCTTGTCGACTCCTGGTTGGGAGTTGTTGGTCAGAAGTCTCCAGCGCCCGGCCACGATAATTCTTTGACATCACCGTCCAATCTCTTATCCTGTTCGACGACAACTCCTTGGATGCCCCCTCCGACATCGCAATTTGTCCGTTTCCACACATATGGCCATTCTACTCGTATCGGTCGTTCCTCATCGCCGCAAACTATTTTCCCCCCTTCATCGACCCTTATATCATCACCGCCGCCACTCGTTTCCTCCTTTTGGACCTGGGCACCGATTTGCCCTTCGTCCTCCCGGTCGCCTCCGCCAAACGCATTTTCGCAGTGCAACATCCATCGCTCAGCATTCCAGTGTCGACGTAACTCCCCAGTGGAAACATGCCCTACGGCCGCTCCATTTGCTTGCCACCTTTCGCCGCGCCGCTTTCGCTTCCCCCCGCCTCCCGGTCACGTGTCACGCGCTGAATTTGTGTCTTGCATAACTTTTGCGTCTCATCGCCGATGGGCTTTAAACTTCGGGCACTGCCATTGGACCCTGATGCATGCACGATGGGCCTTGTTTAACCCTCATCCACATTTTGGGCCGACATAGTGCTTTCAGAGCCCATCGTCGACTTTGAAGCAATGGCGAGCAAGATTCGGCTTGTCATCGTGACCACCAAATCCAATGCGACTCCGGCGGGTGCTTGAGGGACCTACTGTCGTGTGCAAGATATAGAGCCACATATATTCCTATTTGCGGCATTCACCTTTATCTTCTACCTCGACGTTTGCAGCGCCGCCATACTCTTCTCTCCATACTGGCAGCAACTGGTCATCCAGACTCTTTGGTTCTGATTACTGTATCGGGTTCTCCGTGAATCCTACCTACCGACATGTCTCATTGTATATCTCTATCGCTTTCTTTTGCAAGTACTAGTAAATCTTCGTTGTATCACTTTATACGGCCCGCATTTCAAGTTCCTCTTCGTCTGTACTTATCTTCGACCTCCTTACGACTCGATATACCGACATTTGTGTACCGATTTCACCAACTGCTACAAGCCCAGCGATTGGTTGTTTTTTGCCACGAGGACCGCAGCTGGAATCAATATGCATAATACTTAATACAGAAGCGAGGAAGAACGACGGAGACCCATGAGCACTGATATCCGACTAGGACGAAGAGTAAGTACATGTAAGTACATGATTCATAATATGAAGTAACGAAGCAATGCGGATATGAGAGGAATGCTTGGCCGCCCTCATTCGTGTGTTGGGGAGCCACCCAGTAGCCTGTGTAACTACCTGGGGGTGCCCGTAGCCTCCCGAGAAACCGGGAGCCTACAGAATGCCGGCGGTGTGTGTTGTGGGGCCAGACCTGTCGTCAAACACGGCACACGCGAGCGAGTCCAACATCCTAATCCCAGTCGTAAACCAGCGCTCTCCGTTGTCCCACCGTTTCTTCAAGATGTCCAAGAAACATCAATTTCATGCGTGAAGTAAAATCGACAAAGTACACAAGTTCAAGTTCAAGTTGACAACGGCCCTGGTTTCATGCCGCCTCGGGGCTCTGACTGGCACGAGTACTGGCGGTGTCGACGGTGTCGTTCGCTGCTCCGCCCTGTGGCAACAGTCTCGACGCGCCTACAACACCCACAGCAGCCCCACCCGCACTGATGAACGGCGCTGCGGCCGTCAACGCCGCCCCACCCGCGCCGATCGACTGGGCGATCGCGAAGGCGGACCCGCTCGTGACAGCGCCGCCGTAGAAGACGGACTGGATCCCGGCCGCGAGCGAACCTTAATCTTGTCAGCCGAGGAAGAGGGAGTAAAACTTGAATCTGCACGCACCTCCGACGACGCCGCTGGCGCCGAACCCGATTACGTTCAGCCCGCCAACGAGGGCTACGGGAGCGAGGAGCGGCGCCGCAACGACGAGCCCTGCGGCAGTGGCAGTAGCGGCGATGGGGTGGTCATTGCGGAAGCGACTGAGCATGCTGGCTGGGGGAGAGTTCGTTGCTTCTACGTTAGGAGAGTCAAACAAAATGAATTAAGCCGAATGAATCAAACCTGTTTGGCCATCCGCATTTGGAGTCGGCTCGCTCTCTAAATCTGTCTTTTTGTCCTTCGGCGGGGCCGCGCTGGCTGCTTAGAACCGAAATCAATGCGCGATCTTGAGCTCTTGGCAGTTTAGACGACGCACCGCGTCCGATCCGACCGCCAAGCTCGGAGACCGTCTTCGCGAATGTTAGGGCTCTGTCGAGCGGCATGATCGATTGGCCAGCCGAGTATGGTGGTGGTGGAGTGATGGATGGGAAGGGTGGTAGGTGGGCAAGAAGCAGGTTGGGCCGCCACTTGCCAGGCAGGCTCGAGTCATATAGGCCTGCGGGCGCTTATAGCGCGGATACTGCGGCTCGGACGGTGAGAGGAAGAAGTACAGCAACGTGTTCAAGTCGCCGGGGTAGTTGCGCCGGTGTTCCGCTTTGTATTGGCCGAACGTTGGGCAATGGGCTCGGAGCCTGAGGATGGGCCGACATGTCTTGACAACGCGTGGATGGGTGGGTGGGAAGGGGAGAAAGCGGCGATCTGGGTGTGATTGGCGTGGCGCGCACGGACCAAGCGGTGCCGCACGTGCCACGTCAAGCTCTTCTTCTCCCGGACCGCCATCTGCAAGAGATTCCGGATATCCTGTGCCCGCAGAGCGGTGCGCATTCTGGTGTTCGACGGTAGCCGTTACGCAGGACTTGCACGGTGTGTCAGCACCTCTCCCTGCCCTTCATTTTCGACCGTAACGGACCGTTGTAGCGGTTATTTCGCCATCTATGATAATGATTTGTGGCACGAAAACTCTTGCTCGTGCCATCAAACGTTGTGCGATGACCACAAGAGAAATACAAGGAGACTATCGTACCCAATGTGACATTCCTACAGAACCTGAAACTGTCTTGCTTAGCACCGAAGTACAAAGACTCGGAGATGAACCACACCGGGTGCTTGAACGCCGTTGTTAGGCTAGTCATTCATGCCAAGCCTATCCACGCTGCTTATTCTTTGTCCGTGGGTAGGTTCCTTTGAAATTCCACCCTTGCCTTTGTTCCGGGTATGGCAAGTGATATTTTTACATACAATTCTGAGGGGACAAAGACTGGTGGCAGTATAAAGTATTACCACCGTCTCAATGGAAGCTAATTCTCTTTCTTAGTCTCTCATACTGCACCGACTATGCTCGCCCCTTTCGACACCCTTCCGACAGAAGTCGTTGGGCACATCTTCAAGTTCAGCGGGGCGGAATATCAGCCTCATGTTCTCCAAACCATGTCGTCATACACCAAACTCATAGAAAGCGTCACAGGGTATGACCTGCGGAATCTTGGCCAAGTTTGCAGAAGATTCGCGCACATCGTACATCACACCCCGAGCCTTTGGACGACGTTCAACCTAGATCTCCGCTGTTTCGTGCATGTTTGGACGCAGGAAAATCCCGTTGACAGCGCAGATTCACTGGCAGATGATTCTGACGATCCCAATGGCACGTCATGGATCACTGTATTGCACGAATACGACTTGGCGTTGATTGTGGCGCGCCACCTGGAACGTGCTCTGCTCCGCGGTGGACATGTACCCCTCCACATCGAACTCTGGGGAAGTGAGTTCATGACATTCCCGTCGGAGATCCTGGTGCCCTTGATGAAGCACTCCCATCGCTGGCAGTATGCGGAATTTGCCATCGCCGGTGCAATGTTGTCACAGCTGTCGCCGATCACGGGCAATATTCCCCTCTTGGAGCAGCTGGTGCTACATCCCTGGGATGACGAGCTGCCCGAGGAGCACGAGCCCTTCTCATTCTTCTCCGACGCACCACGCCTCCGGACCGTTCACTGCCACGCGGCCAGCTCACTGTTTCTCCCACATCTCCCCATCCCACAACTCGCCAAACTGTACATGGCGGCTGGGTCTTATTGTCTTGCTCATTGGGCTGATTCGGACGGGTTGATCGCACAGTCCACCCGGCTCCATGATGGCGCTACCTTGGGCATCATATTAAACACATACCCATATCACACACTCGGGCATCTGCCAACTCGAACCGTCCAAAGCGGCATCGACGCCTTCTTAGTGTACATTGCTACAATGAAGAGCGAACTCGCAGACATGCGCGTGTTGCAATCGCTCCTTGATTTCTTCACGCTGCCAAAGCTCGCCGTATTCGCCATCGCCAAGTCCAGCTACGCCCGTTCTGATGCGCCGTTCTTCTGGCCCCATGTCGAGGGACTTGCGTTCCTGCAGCGGACGACGCGAGGGTCAGTGCACAGCATGGATCTCACGGGCGTTCATGTTACCTCGCAACAATTTCTCGAAGTACTGGCCGTGCTCCCGGGACTGCGGCGCCTTGCGATCGACGACTGGGTGGCCCCGGCCTATGCAACGTGCCGCGAGTGTCATCAAGTGCCTGCGTTGTTCGACGACGAGCTCCTGGTTGAAATGAGCTCAGCCCTCGTTGTTCCCGATTTGAAGACGCTCATCGTCTCGTCGAAGGGGGCTTTCAGCTCTCGTGCGCTTTTGGCATTCTTGCAAGGGAGGGTTTCGATGAAAGCAGAAACGTTTGAGATGACGATGGTGTGGCTCGCTGGGTATCAGTCGCCTTTAGATGCCGAGTTCCGCAGAGCAACTGGGAAGTGGGAGAATGCGCGGGTTTTGAAATGGTCTGATAGTTCGGCGGCTGGTATGGAGGAAGCAACAATAGTATCAAGTACTTCAGAGTAGGGTAAGCGTATAGAGATGGTGCCCGAGGTAAACAAAAAGACATACTCCGAGTCAACGAAACAACGCAGAAGGTCGAAGATGAGAATTGAAAGACAGACGTTGGCCGAAAAAGGAAATGACCTTCTTTTCCGGAACCTCCATGTCGTCTTGCTACCCAACACTATCCTCGAGCACCAAGCCCTTCTCTACCCTCGACGACAAGACCACACGGCATGCAACAGGCTGATTCGGGGGGTCCAAATGGGATGACGTGGCTTGCTGGCCAACAATCTCAATCGGTGGTGGGAAGCGAAAGGTGGACAGAGGAGGACAAAGCTGTGGCGAAAGCTACTCTGGACACTTCGGTGTGCTTTTGGACCATCTGAAGGGTGCGTGTGGGCGTCTTCTTACTATCTAATACTAATCTCCCTCATACTAGCAGTCGTGGCCCATTTCCCTTCTTGATGACCAAAGCCTCCATCGCCCTTAACACGGGTCGTCAAGACTACATAACCCTTTTGTATAAAGCCTCACTACAGCAGTCAAGACACGTGTATAGGGCCGCTGGGGGTATGCATGGGCGAGTTTGCTTGGGTTATTCCGGGAGAACCGCGAAGGGGTCAGCGCATTTGGTTTAACATGCCATGTTCTTCGAGCGAATATAAGGTACTCCAAGATGTTATATGACGGGGATATGTCAGCTGGGTGCGTTCTTTTTTGCGCATTTTCTGCCTTTGTCCTCATTTCTTGTCCTCAGACCGGCCCAATTCTGCCTTGTCTGACCCTCCTTTCACGCCCAAATCACATATGGAATCCCAGAATAACGTCCTCCATCCGTTCTGGTCGCACGAAGACCACGGCAGGCGGTGGCCCGAGTTTTTTGTCCCTTGTAATCGTCAACACCCCCCTGCGCGTCTTCTCCCCGCAAAAGCTTTTCGCCCTATGCAAACAACTTTCCCGACCTTCATTCACACCCCTTCATTGTCCCCCGCCAGTTCCGAGCGATTCTACGGCTCCGTTCCTACAACGACTTTGCCCTTCCTCCTCCCCCATCACCCCCATTTTACAACTTCTTCTCAAGCCTGTCCATGGCCCAGAGAGTTTGGAAGCTCAACGCATACGTATATGCCGCCTCATTACTGCCATCTCCGCAAACTGGGAGGCTAAATCGGAGGTCGTCAAGGGCTTTCCGTCAGTTCCCCCATTATCGATCTTCTCGTCAGCGATATCGCAATTTTCTCCTATGTGGCTTCGAATGCGCTTATATGATGCCATTGCCTCTACTCTATCATCTTCATCCGCCATGGGGAGTCTTCTGCAAAGCCCAAATACCGCTCTATGTCGAAACATTGTCATAGTAAGGAAGATGACCTTCGCTGTCGATGGTCTTGCAATCCGATATGGCACTCTTTGTGGCGCGATTTAGCCCGCATGAGGAGGAGGACCGGTATAAGTTGGCTGGGATGATGGATGTACGACACCAGGTGGTTGTCTATGTCCCCCAAGCGGGTCAACACATTTGGTGGGCGATGCTACACGTTCTTTGGGTGGATTTTCGGCGCGTAACTATGGTTCATCGACGTTTTGCGAGCTTCAAGGTGTGTTCGTATCGCGTTTTGCTGATCTTCATCCTGATTACGCTTCAGACGTGGCGAACGATTGTGGCATTGTTTTACTTCTTTCGGCAGGAACTCCTGCACAAACGGCTTCTATTCCCATTCCGCACACGCAGCCCACAATACGGACTTCCAGTGTTTTGTTGCAGTCGATATCACCAACGGCAACTTGCATGTCTTCTTCCTTAGGAAGCGTTTCACCTTGAGCTAACGACTTCCCCAATACCCATTCGACTTCCTTCATTGTCCCCCGCCGTTGCCGAGAGATTCTCTGGCTGCATTGCCGCAATGACTTGGCCCAGCCTCCTCTCCCGTCACGCCCGTTTTGCGAAACCTTCCCAAGGCTATCGACGATCTCCAGCGCTCGGCTGCCAAATACCAACGTATATTCCATCTCGCTCATACCATTTCCGCCGAAGCGTGACGCCAGATTTGGGGCCCTACACGTCTACACGTCTCCTCCCCGCAGAAGCCTTTCGCCCTTGACACACATCTTCCCCGACATGCACATACTCCCCGGCATCGTCCTCCGCTGTTTCTGAGCAATTGCATGGCCCCATTGTCATCGCGATTTCCCCCTTCCTCCTCTCCGATGTTTCACAACTTCTTCTCCCCGCCTGTCGAGGGGCTGGAGAGTTACGAAGCCAAACGAAGACACATCTTCGACCTCCTTCATGCTGTTACCGCTGCCTTGCGGGACTGCGGGACTGGAGGTTGGCAAGGGCTTTCGTCGTTTCTCCTATCCGGGATCCCGATCGAGTTCCCGTCATTCATATCTCGATGTTTGTCGTGCCGTTTTGTTCTTCTCTCTTTGGGTTTGCACCTTCCCTTAGATACCACAGTTACCCCTACGTCCCGTTCTTCCAAAGTATTCGTTATTTGGCACGACACCTTTCCTCTTCCGAGGTTCT